ATTCCTGCAAAATCTATCAAATATGCTAAAAAAGAATATTTACAAGCCATAATAAGCAAATTTGAACACATACTTAAAAAATTTTACAACTTGAACACATGAGGAGGGAGGCCATCCAGTGATAGTACCCAATGTTATATTTATTATTTATTCATTAACTATTAACTTAACATAAATTAAATTAAAATTAATGGTTTGAACCATCAATCATTTAATAAATCACGACATCATTTTCTCTTTAAACGGCGTGGGGGATTACTAGAAAGTGAGTTGGAAGCAAGTTCAGCGATTAAAGGGTTAAAGAGAGACTGTAACTTAAGGTGAAATTTTTTAGAATGTTTTGTGGCTAATTGATTTACTGTTTCTATTTTGAAGTGTGGRATTTGGTACGTACTATGGTACAGAAGAGATAATATAGAGACTGGAGAGTGATAGATTGGAAGGCTTGGAGGGTACGTTTTTGAGATGGTTTAACATATCCCCAGATTTGGATTGCATAAGTTTAGATAGGCTGTAATAAGGATTTGTAGATGATTATTTTTATTTGGAAGGGTAATTTTGATTTCAGAATTGAGTGAAGTAAGTGGAGTCGACTATTGAGAATTTTTCTTTTTAACTTAATATTATGAGAACCCCAGGTCAATCTTTTGTCAATTAGGACGCCGAGGTATTTTACTTCTAAGGATATTGGGATTGGTATTCCTTGAAATTTGAAAACAATAAATCAAAATGTAATTTCTAATCATTTTAAAAATATAAAAATGCAATAAGCATATTTAATAATTTGTTTTTGAGTTATTACATTGCACTTGTATGTTTAATTATATCGTTTTAAATTACTGCTCAACTAAGGGCCGTTCTTACAATGTCCGGTTAAGTGTCGGTTAAGACTAACCGGTAGAATTCTATCGGTTAACTCATGATAAATTCTTCCGGTTAGTGTTATCAGGCACTAACCGAGCATTGTAAGAATGGCCCTAAAAGTACAATTATTAAATCTCGTAAAGTAATTTTGTATCATTAGACAATATATCTTTAATAGCTCTACAAATTAATTATTATATTAGTTATTCTTATTACTACAAAATTTTTACAAACCCGAAAGTCACAATATTTAATATGTTTTTGATAATACTAAGTTCACATGAATATGTAGTACCTATTTTCACTGAAATTGTAAAAAATGTGCATCRAATTAAATATATTATTGTTACCAAAGAAACATATAATTACGTTGTCATGTAAAATTTCAGACAACATATCTATTAAAAATAAACACTGGTTATAAAATTTTAATCTATTTTAATTGATTTAAGACTGTTCATGATTATTATATTACCTACATAGTATAGAATTATTAAAAATGAGTATCGATGATCAAGAAAAAAATATCCAAAGAACGAAAAATGAAATTTCAAAACTCCGGAAATACATGGATTCTAAAATGAACCAAAAATTKTTGCTGCACCAACGGATGGTGACCAATTACCAGCGAATGATGGACGAGTGCGTCGTGTACGAGAAGGAATTGGAAAAGATTCGCTCGGAAAACGCACGTTACAAGTTAGTCGGACAGTGCCTGATGAACAAGGTCGTAGAACTAACCGGTTGCAAGTTCGCAAATAGTTTGACTGGATCCRGCAAAGACGACGACGAAGCAACTCACCTAAACTTGGAAGTTAGTTGTAGTAAATATATCTATATAATATTATCCTACATTTATCTTTCTAGCAAATAACCATAAAATTGTTATCGAAGAAAAATAAAAACAAGTTTTAAAAGAGTCATTTCAAATTTTCAAATAAAAAACAAAAACAAATAGATAATTTTTTAAACCTGTCTCATGTGTGTGTACAATGTACATATTATTATAGTTAATATGTTTCAATAAAATACAAAACGGTTATTTGTTTTTTAATATAAGTAAAGATGCCTTTTTATTGTGACCCCCCCCCCTCACCATTAATCCAGTGTTTTCATAAATCCAGCAGTATATACTCTCTAGTTTGATACTCTGATATCTCAATAACTATCGGACTACCGAAATTCTACTGTACTTATATATATACATACAAACACAACGAAAAACTGTTTACCACGCGAAAGCTATTTATTCTCGMGTGTATTTTGATTARATATTCCAATAACGAAGCTAAAAAGTCCGTCTCTCCCGACCGTGTTTACAGGTGTGCAGCAACAAACTGTTGGCCGAGCTGGCGGCAAACAGGGAACAGGCCGAGGCGGCGTCCAGAAAATTGGCCAAAGCCAGAGACCGACTGGCCAACGAGACCGAGACGGAGGAGTGCTTGAAGCGGTGCGCAAACAACTTGACGGTGCTCGCCGAAGCTGACCGGACGAGGCGGGACTGCGAAGAGGCGGAGTTGCGGACGGTGGCCAAGCGACTGACGTCCGAGCTGGGGGTGGCGCGGTGCGACGCGGACCGGTTGCGRACGGCCGTGGAACAGCTGATGTCGGACGCGGMGATGGGTTGCGAACCGGTCACGCGCAKCAGCGAAGGGCTGCGCGAGGACAACATCCGGTTGCAGRCCGACCTGAGAGCCAACACGGCGGTAGAGGCCAAGCTTCGCGCCAGGATTGCCCAATTGGAGACGGCGATACAGCACACTTGCTAGCCGATCTTCGGACAGTCCTCATTGACGTACCTACATTACATCTATGATTGAAAATCAAATGGAATACAAAATACAATGATTATTGTATTCTAAAAATATAAAAAAAAWTTWAATTAAATTTTCCATTTTATCAWTTGATAAAATTTTTATCTTTCAACAGCATAGCCTTACTGGAAAATAATGTTCGATTTTAAATAATTAATTGCATCGATAAGCCTCAAAGATGATGAATGCAACATAATGCAGTATTGAGTTCATAGGTTTTAAAATATTTTTTTCTTATTTTTACCGGGAAAATTTAGTGAAATAAAATTATAAATATTTTTAAATATCATGAATACACACGAGATAAAATTCAATGAGAATATACAATGTTCGAACCAGTCATGTTATGGAATAGTCATTTTTTGGAAACATACATTTTGGG